TAATGGCGTTTATTGAGGAAATTTGACGATAACGCGCCAAAATAGATATTTGAGTTCATATTTAAGGGAGGGAGGGGAGTGTGCGATAGACTTACCTCCACGTGGTCCTCCCTGGGCAACGTATACTCATACGGCAAAAGTCTGCTAACCGGCAGTTGACTTCTGACTTCAAACTACCATCACCCCACTGTATGTCATATTCGACTACTTCCATAGTACTCACCTCACCTTTTTTCTACCTTTGAGTCCTCCTCTTTTACATCTTTGAAGCACCCTTCTGTCTCCCTCCCCCCCCTCCCCCTCGACTTTTTCCCATTGATGTTCCTTCCACCCTGTGAAGCCTGAAGTCAACTAAAGGGTTAATGATATCCATCAAAACGCCTGTCATTTAGCATAAATAAATATTTAAGGGAGGGGGGAGGGAAGGGGAACAGATATTGATATTTGAAAGAAAACCTGATTTTACAAATCGAAGAAGCTCACAGTGATCTAGAAGCGAAAAAGGCGACATTTGTGCTAGCGAAATTGACAAAATTTTATAAGGATCTTGGTGAGGTGAAAGATCAGATGTCATCAACCCCCCCCCCATCCAGAAGTGCGGACCACATACGGATTGAATTGCCGAACACGATGAAACCTTCGATGTCGATAATATTGTTTCAATCAAAACAAAATATGGAAGCCAATTGCCATTACGCTCATAGCGAAAGAATGCGATCGAGGTAGCTAGAGGGGCAGTTTTCACCCGGACATTTAGCAGAAAACTATTAATTGGCCAAAATAATCTTAACTGCTGAACGCAGATGTGTGGGTAGTATTTTCTCATTTCAATAAAAATTTAGGCGAATTTGCCAGGTTGCAAGACAGCAAAAGCTCCAATTTAACCAAACAAAGGCAGAGGAGTCATGTTGGTGTAAAGGTGCATAGTCTAATCTAATGCTCGATAAATGACGTATCTAAGCTACCGTGGACATAAAACGCGTGTTTAGACTCTAAAGACAATTCTCATTTGTGATATCACCAATTAATTGAATTCACATAAATTCCATGCCTTTTGGAGACTAAACAGGGTTGGGCATCAAGAGCGTTATAAGCAAGCTAAGCCTATACGCATACCGAACCCGTATGGATACACAAAGCTGATAGGCCAACTCTTTGAGATTAGTGACCACCGCCCAGATTATTGAGAAGTCAAGGCCATAGGGTAACATGGTTGCTTCCTTTCCTAACTCTTACTCGTCATGTGTTTGAGTCTTATTTGTACTTTTCTTACAACCAAGGGGTTTCTGTCTCCTTTATACTACTTGGTCGCTTCCAACATTAGCTAACAAGGGGGCAAAATTCACTTTAAAACGTACAGTTTGAGAGAACACAAATAACCAATGGCCATAGATGATAAAAGCCAATTTTTACTTCGAAGAACCAATCAGATCACCTCAAAGCGTTGCAATCCCGTCGAATAGGGAAAACGATTGTTTTAGAACCAACCAATCAAATTCACATTGGTGACTCGCTATTTTCTAGACTTTGATATTCCAACCCAAAAGGAAGGGAAAAGCACAAATCAGATAAGCGCTCTAGCAATATTTATTCGATTTTATGACCTTCAAATGATTTACACGCACAAGCGGACCAATAAAATGCACGTTTCATGTAATACGCAAGCAACAAAACGCTCTTTCTAATGGGAAATACTTCTCTCCCATTACTTTAATACTCAGTTGATGCTTTCCATATTTAAGGAAGGCATTTCAGATTTTGCTAAATAGAAATCCTACCTCTACTGCCTTGCGAAAGGCCGTAGAAGAAAGGATGAGAGTGGACCTATACGACCTCTTGCACTTGAGAAATCATGGCTAAAGTTCCCTAGTGATGCATTTACATGAAATGCATAGGCCAATTGTGATCCGCTTTACGCAAAAATCGCAGTCATCAGGATTCCAATCCCAATTCACATCCACTTGGCCAAAGTTCAACAATTTTTTTCGAATTGCTTGTGGATTACACCATCAGCATAATATGTAAGGAAAAGTGACTACCCACCAGCCTCATTTTTTCTCCGGTTCTCAAAAGGTGATAGAGCAGATTGTATTTAATATTATAAAAATAAGCTTTAAATAGGACATTTATCTGTTACATAAAAGTGTCGATACGAATTTAATCGAAAGTGCGCGTGATTTAAATTTCCATTAGAAGTTCCTTCATTGCCTGATCAAGACCGAGTGAAGGTTGATTAAGCATCTCATTCGCAAGATTCCCAGCAAAAGCGCCAAATTCACCGTTCGCTTCAGAGAGCGCTTGGTCTAAAAGAATCTCCAAATGTGATCGAAGACGTTCGGCAACCACTACAGTACTTAGCGACCCAGCGTCCGTCTGAAAGAAAATGCGGACAAGAAGTATGATGCGTTAACAGAAATGAACGCAATAAGGAAGACAAGTTGTAGAAGCAGAGCAAGTGGATGTATACCTGAGAGGAATCGGATTGGGACGGTGGAGGCACATTTTTATCCACATCCATAGACTCCCCAAGCCCCACCCACATCAACTCAACTTTTTCTTCCGCAGCTGAAGCAGCTTCCGCTTCTGCAACCAAATCTGCCGGCAGACCAATTGATCGAGCTACCTGCAGACCATAGCTCTGGTCACAGATTCCTGTAAAAGAAATGGACTTTATCTACTGATTTGCATACTCAATTAGCGGTGTTCTCGCAACCTCTCTTTGCCACTATTGCCATAGTGCTCAGGAGCAGTAAAAACGCCTTTGAAATATTAAGTAGACCATAGCGACGTGCAATAGAAAATATTTATTCAGTGTAGACAAAGCGTTAAAATTCAGCGGAATAACATTCTCCACAAACAAAAGATATGCGGATTTTCAGGTCATTCAGAATCATGGCACCCTCACTTAGGTTCCCTACCATCTCAATTTTCATTCAATATCTTGACAGAGCATGAATTCCGAGAGTCACATGATCCAAAGATCTTATCAGGTGCTTCATGAGCGAGGTTTGCTGGTATTATACACAAACAAGTGTGTGTTTGCGATATAGCGCATTAATTTGAATTCTAAACTAACCCGGTTCGACTTTGTAGAGCATAATGACATCAGTGGGGTTTTCCCCTTCATCAGCGCCTGAAGAATGTTGAAAAACTTCAGCGGAAACACGGTAGTTTGCCACAACACCGGGAAGAAGGTGTGCCAAGGAGGTGAGTTCATGGAAATGGGTGGCAAAGAGAGTGAAACAGCCGATAGTTTGAGCCAGATGAGTAGAAATTGCCCATGCCAGGCCGAAACCGTCGTAAGTGGAAGTGCCGCGACCCAATTCATCAACTATTACTAAGGAATCACGTGTGGCAAGCTAGAAATGTTAGAAAAAGATTGATGTCAGATCACACGCCTGAGAAGAAAAATTAAGGGAACAGTTTAGCATCGGGAAATAGAATTTCCCCATAAAGAAATGTGCGAATGAGAAAATAAAACTTTTGTTACAACAAGGACTTCGTCCCTTGTCATAAAAAGTTCCTGATGAATAATAAATGATTAAACATAGGGTTTACCCTCAGCACAGCAACGGTTTCGAGCATTTCAGCCATGAAGGTGGAGATGCCACGCAGCTGACAATCACCAGCTCCAACTCGAGCCATTATCGCGTCGACAGGAACAAGATCAGCTTCACTTGCTGGAACAAAACTACCAGCTTGAGCCATGGCAACCACTACACCAGTCTGAAAAGAGAAGAGGGTCATTTTAAAGACTAGAGAATGTAAGGCTTACAATTATTTGAACAACCACAATCCACTATAGAATCCAACACAACTGGGCTATAAATGTTCATCCTTGAATTGACCTTCAAGCATACAAAGCGATAACTATAAATATCCAAACTAACCCAAGTGAGGTAATTGAGAGGCAATATACTGACCTTGAAAAATAAGCAGAATATTTCCCCTCTTAATGGGATTTGGGACTATTTTTCTACGCAACAGTTGGGTTCGGTTATGGTAAATGATCGGACAATCGATTATAGGATATAAACACAATTTACAACTTTCAACTATAGTTTGTCGGATGGTATTGATGATACAAGAATTTTAAAGGCTAGAAAATTCAATTCGATGAAAATTTGCGGTTCCAAATACACGATTTCTACTGATACCAAACGTTCTTCCTGATAAATCTAGCACACAATCCAATTCCAAATCTAATCCATTTAAACACCCCCAAAACTCAAATCCACAGAGATTAGCAAAAGAAGTTGATTTTCGATCATTAAAAGTAGAAGAGGATGTAAAATTTTTCCAAGGAACAGCTGGTCGATTTGCCACAGAAAATCATAAATAGACGTGGTTACTAACTTCAGATGCGAAATTAATTACAAGATGCAGAAAGACAAATTACGAGGAATTGCGAGAAAGAGAGAAATTCCACAGCCCTCCCCCACCTTTAAGAAAGTTAACCAATCGTACTATAATGCGCATTAAGTAAATCAGAAACTATTGAATCAGGACTAGGAACTGTAAAGCTAAATTAACTCTGTGATTTGTTCAATAACCTTCATACCATTCGCATTTATAATTAAGTCTCAGAAGGAATCAAAATGAACTTGTATTAGACTGTCTATCGGGGGGTGCGCGATAGACTTACCTCCACGTGGTGCACCCTGGGCAACGTATACTCATTCGGCAAAAAAGTCTATTAATCGGCAGTTGACTTCTCACTTCAAACTACCAGAACACCCCACTGTATGTCATATTCGACTACTTCCAGAGTACTCACCTCACCTTTTTCCTACCTTTGTGTCTGTCTCTTACATCTTTGAATCACTCTTCTGTACCCCCCTCCCCACCATCTCGAATTTTTTCTCTTTGATGTTCCTTCCCCTCTGTGAAGCCTGAAGTCAACTAAAGGGCTAATGATAACTACCATAATGCCTGCCATTTGATATAAATAAATAAATACAGACTGTCTACCAGTGGTGCCTCGATTTCTGTGCACAACTGGCAATTCAGAGATTACTGGCTCAAATCCCATCGCCAAATACTAAATAAGCAAAACGGGCAAACGACTTTTATAATCTGGTGCCAATCTACCCTAGATTAACATTGGAAAGTGCGCTTTGCAAGATGGTAAACATAATTGCTTGTATTCTCACACAAAAATTTCTAATCAACATTAAAGCTTCCAATAGCATAATTTCGGCCGATATTCTCCCACCGAAAATACACCCAAGGTCAATTAAACAAAATTCCAAACTAAAATGCTCGCAGCAAATGACCACCACCAGTCAATAGAACTGTTTGCACGATGGACAAATATCAGAGGAATTATCGAGGGAAAGAACAACACCGAAATCACAGCAAATACTGCATTCGCATGTTCAACTGTGCACAAAAATAAACGAATATGGAGGTGACCAATTAGAAACAAAGAAGGAAGATTACAATGACTTCATAACACTTTTTCATTCTCAAACTTAGCAATAGCAAATATATTACACTGATCTCTTCTTACAAAAAATCATAAATAAGTTGTTGAGACTTGTGTCAAGGGCAGTATTAACACAACACACATAGCTAACATAATACGCTCAGAGACAAAGGCACTAGTAAAAACAATAAAGGTCAAATTTTTATTGGATGAGACGACGCCTCTCAGGAAGATCAATTTATAGAATACCAAGGCATGGTCATTCAAATCTAACAACAGGGGTTTCTTGTGTACACCACCCATGAAAAGTTACCCAATGAAATCAGTTTTACCTCGTCTTCTTCTTCTTCTTCAGTGCCAAGTGTTGAAGATTAACATGTGAACTCGAAATAGACCTTAGCAGTTGCTACATTAAAAAAATAAACTGACAGTTGCATGTCTACACAGATTTCATTTTCATCCGACCTGAAGATCCCCTCCTCCTCTTCGAATACACTCGATTTTAATAACTTAAGCTAATTCATTAAAAGGCAGACAACGCCAATTAATCATTAACAAAACCTTAACAAAAATCCAATATAAAGTAGTGAACAGCATGAATTAGTAGTGTTAATTAGAGCTTAATCAATTGGCTTTTGGTAAAATAGGCAAGAGAGAATGGTGCAAAAAAAATGTGTAGTCGTGGTGTTGGCAATCAGACGTTATTTTTTATTCGCTTTAGTTCAATGAATTCGGACTGAATTAAACCAATGTAACCAAAAGGTATTGTAATGTTGAAAGAAGTAGCCTGTGCGATGGCACATTCGCCTACATAAACAAGGGGTGGGGAGGCAAAATTAGTTTTTAACTAAAACTAAAGCGAAATGAAAGAAAAAAAGTTGGACAATTGTCAATAGAGCAAAACGTTTATTTAAACAAACTGAATCCACGCATTCTGCTATAAAAATGTAATTCGTTAAATAACAAAGCCTGATAGGCCAATGAAAGGAAAACCTACACAACCATTGCTTAGAGAGGATAATAAATTAAGACTACAAAGAAAATTGAAATAAAACAGTGAACGAAAGTACGACACTTCACATAAACTTTGTAAGATGAGGATGAATCACCAATACATTAAAACGACTAGAAGAGTAATTACTTACACCACGGATATAGGTAGACTTTCCGCCCATATTCGGTCCAGTGATAGTTTTGAATATTTGTTTGCCTATAAAGAAGCATCATCAACGTTACACCTGTCCAACTACTTAAATTTTTGAGTAGGAGCAATTACCTCGTTCCAAATCAACGTCATTGGGAATCACAGAGACACCATCTTGATATTCAAGACATGGATGTCGAAAGTCCCTCAATCGAATCCCACCACCATCAGCATCGTTGGAAGACCGTTCAGTAAATCGTGGTCGAATATATTGTTGCGGTGCAGAGACAGCAGCAATGGCCAAGCTCACAATAACATCCAATTGGGCAGTACAATTACCCAACGCGTAAAGCGGCTCCAAATACCCGGCTAAATGAGAAAACTTATAAAAACCCTAGGAACCCAACACTGCATTCACCTGATGAACACATTTTGCACTGACCTGCTACAGTGAGGATTTCTTTTACAATACTCTTTTGAGCTCTTGCATATTCTTCCTTCAGTGTGGCGTGCTGTTCACTGAGAGTAGCTAATTCTGTGGATCGACAACGGACACCCGCCTTCTGAATATCAATTTTCTTTAGCCAAGTGATTCCTCGGATCTGTTTCTCCATCTACCAAGAAGAGTTGGGCAAATAATTGAAAAGAATTGAGATAGAGCACACAATAGAGTGATTGAAAATAGAAGATCTAACCTTGAGAGTTACTCGCAAGAAGTGGCCAACACCATCAGCAGTCTCCAATTTGATGGACTTTCCAGGCTCCAAACCAACCTTAGAGGCAACCTGAATGTAGGGGGAAAAATAGACCGAAGTTTCTAGCTTATTCAACACTGAGAAAGGAGTTACGATTTCGGAAAAAATACGATAATTGGGAAAAAAGGAAAAGACAGTGCTTACTCTATATCCCGTGTTCTCTGAATTTTGGCACTTTATTATAAGCTCAATCTACACGCAACTGTTGGACGAAAAATACCTCAAAAATAATGCAGACACAATTTGCTGGCTTAACTACAAATTTTAAACCGGTATAAGACTTTCTTCAATATTGAATCTGTAGGCAGCCATAAATCTTAACTACGATGAAGCACCAAGAAGAGACAGAAAGTCAACACTCCTGTCGAATTGATTTTAACTAGCAATGACAAGTGGGTATTTGCTGATTTATCAAAGCAAAAAATAGCAAGTGAATGGCCTTTCCAACCCCTTTTCGTAAATGGGTTTGCACGCGCACTCAATAAATTATTCCCCACCCCCGTCTCCCGTCTTTTCCACCCAACTTACGCTCATTTTTTTTTCTTTCTTTCTAACAAATTTAATTTGAATCCAATTTTTACTTCTGAAACCTACGTTCTGGCTCTTGGGGCTCTACCACTCAATACCGAGTCCATCTCCCCCCCCCCCCCAA